ACACTTTAATCCCCCGACTCACGTACTACAAGAAGCAAATCAGCACAGATTACATTTAAAGCATCTAGATGACAAGTGCTTGGCTATAAATGGTGTTTCAGTAAGTAAACAGAATGAGGGAGGGGTGGGGGGGGATTAACTAGAAACGAGGTGGAGCAGATACACCATAGAGGCAGAATTAAGTCCAATGTGAGAAGTTACGCTGGGAAGTATTAAGAACCAAGAGCAATACAAAGTCGAGGTAAATTGATGAAATCAGGGCTACACTATTTTTTTTATATGTCACGCCTAATTTTATATTTCCTTACATTAAATCTGCAGAGATTTTCTAAAGTGTATGTATATAATTCTGCCTGTAAAGAGGCCAAAGCTAACGCCTGTTGTTCACAGAACATATCTGGCAACCTCCCCATCTGAGACACGGTACAGAAATACTGGGCCCAATATATTGAACTGTTCCTTTAAATACTACACTCACTCTGGTTGTGTTTGTAGTTGAGACAGCTGCTGCATGAAGCAGGTGTAAGCTAAGCATCTTTCTGTATAATTAAGCAGGTATGGCCTCATGGGGGCCCCAAACACAGGCCCTCCAGTTACCACCCACACCAATATTACAGGGATAAGAATCGGATTCACAGGTTGCTTCAGACACCGGGGGGGGGGTAAAAGAGTAACTTTGGTCGACGCCGGCAACCCTCCGTCAGATATCCAGCCCCACTGTGATGAAAGAAAAGACCAAGAGAGACGAGGCCCGTGTAGGTTTGTTTACTTTCTTCTGGGAAGGAACATTTAGAGGGCTTGTTTCTCCATCAGGCCCCGGCCCGGGACACACACACACACACACACACACACACACACACACACACACACACACACACACACACACACACACACACACACACACACACAGAGAGAGAGTGAATGTGAAATACGATGTGGTCTCTAGAGGGATGGACGGTTTGCTGGAGTGAAAGGGCCTGACATGAGAGGAGGGTTCACGGCTATAGGCCGAGCAGCTGGTCCATGCTTCCTGAAGCCTGATAGCTGAAAACAGGACAAGCTGTTGTGTAGTTTTTAGAATATAACGTTGTGTCAGAAGAAGATCTGGAGTAGCTACACCAGCCTGACGCTTGGTACCACCTGTGGGGGTTTAGTGCAGAGACATGGGTTATTCATGGGGCTGCCCCCTCTAGTCAGTCAGTCAACTAACCTGTTGTTTTGCTCTCAAGTCATGTTTTACATCACATTGAAAAGTCACATTGAATGACTTATTTCCATAAACTTATGAACACATATCTGATAAACACACGATTTAAAGTGGTGCTTTTGTGCGATTCTTTGACGAGAAACTCCGATCTGCTAATCCATCAGCCGACGAAATTGTACGGGTGTTAGTCGACTAAGAACGAATTTGGTCGAGGAGAGCCCTAAAATACCAGCATAGGGAGCAGAGCCAGACTGACACTGACTCCACCGGTGAAATATTCACTTTCATATTAAACAAAGGCCTGAGAAGAATAGAACGATGACATCAAGCTTAAGTGCAGAGGGCCGGAGAAAAAAAGAAAACTGTCAGCAGTCAGCACACGCAAACATAGCTAATACAAATATGACAAAGTCACGTGACCAAAGGTTGTATTTGAGTTACAAAGGTCTTTGTCAGTGGCCCCCACCCCGTTTGCAAGGCCGGATGAATACGTTTAGATATTACCTTTATGCTGATGTATGGAGTGGAAGGTTTGTGTGGTCGAGCAACAAATGTCAAAAAGAAGAATTCACTGAAAACATCTGTAGAGCTGAGGGATATCTCTTCTCTTTCAGAAGGCAGCGCCCTGCTTAAAGACGTACGTCACCGCTGGGAAGCATGAGTCAAGTTCCATTTAATAAGACCATTAACCTGCAATAATCTGGATCAGCTTTAAATTGGAACGATGGGAGACACGATATCGCGTACAAGACGCAATCCATGAGTCAGCTGATTGCACGAGCTGGGGTTTTCTATGACACAGCTTTACAGCCACATTGGAACAACCGTTAGACGTTGCTAAACTTTAAAACAATAACTGCATGCGAGTCAGGTTAGACCCAGCGGTTCTGCTATAGGGTCAGCAGACTGGCTACATGTGCACAGCCTTCGCTGGTCCCAGGCATGCGTCCGCTACACTGGCCTACGTCCGACCTGCGAGCTACAAGAAGAAAGTAAGTCTTTAATCCGGAGCTGTGAGAAATCACCAAAGCAAACGGACTATAGGGCCATATTTGTAAGTCATACACGCGCGCGCACACACACACACACACACACACACACACACACACACACACACACACCACATCAACCAGTGGCTTTGCCGTTAGTCCTTTTAAATCTGATCCGCCTAAAGCCAAGCTAAAAGAAATGTTCTGTAGGAAGGAAGGGGAATGGTGATAGAAACATTATATTAATCATCTGCGTTTAGAAAATGGGAAAACAGTAACCTACTAACCTCCGTGGTATCTTAATGGTTTTACAACGTCTGTCTGACTCAACAACACGCTAATCGTCACACGACCTCACTGAGTAGAGGACGCCGTTTGAAGGAGGGAACGTGGAAATTGTCATTCATCATCCAGGCTGATTTCCTTACAGTAAGCGCTTGCTGTGGGGCACGACCCTGAAACAGTTAACAACACGCCATTAGCATCTACAGACTCCTTTTAAGGACCTACTGGCTGCAGACTACAATATGCACGCTGGCTTGACATCAGCGGGCTTCTGATGAGTCAACCAAAGCGACGGACCTCTAAACCTGGCAGTTGTGGAACATCCAGCGGCTCATGACGCAGCAGCAGCTGCTTTAAGAGGACTTCCTTCCTCCTGTCCTTTCATCGAGCAGAGTTTTTCCAGACCTGTGGTACTTTGTGGGGGTCCCGAAGGAGGAGGGGGGGGGGGGTCAGATAGACAGGAACTCACTTTCTCCCTCCGAGTGACAGTCAGCTCAGCGAGGGGTCAGAGTGACTCAGCTTCACTTTCACCTCTACGTTTCCACACCTCCTTCTCTACAGATGCAGCCGATGGGTTGACGGTTTCAGCGCATTTAGGATAGTGTTACAAGGACTCTGCTCGTTAATGATGAACGGGAGACATAGCAGGGATGTGTTCACTGAAGGAGACCCGACTCTTCATTAAATTGCAGCATGAAGAACTGCATCTATGTCTGTTTGTAGACACCTCGGACAAAATAAATAGGAGTGACAGTCAGTAAATCTTGTTTATCATCACAATATCAATGAATAAAAAAAAAAGCAAGATACTTTGTCAGATTGACATAAAAATCCTGTAAAACCAATATTGTCATAACGCAGTCCTTCTTGTTGATTTGCAACATTGCTCACAATGGCTTCATTACAAACAGTGTGGACAAATCTCTATCATCTCAGGATGTACAGTATTGTCAAATCACCCAGCCCTATGCTACATTATGTACATAAGTAATGTCATGTTCAAATATTTCACAAAGTACAAATCATAAAGGATTCAATGCAAGTCCACAGAACTGCAGATTGACACAAAACCATCCTCGCATCTAAGCTAACAAGTGGACCACAGGCAGCCTTCTCCAGTTCTGTCTTGTGCAAACATCCTCCTCCTTATGTGCTCCACATCCTGATCTCTTTAAGAGGTAAACAGTGACTTATGGAAACACACGCGGCTTAACAGAGGTAGCACATCCCAATTAACGTCTGCAGGAGCCCGGGACGCCCTTTGACCCAAGAGACGATGCCCGGAGTCTTGCATTTGAAGCTGCTGCGGACCATTTAAAGGATGTGGATGAAACGCGACGAAGATCAATAGAACAAAATGCTCCATCACTCGACCGGAGACAAGATAAGAGCCTCTGTCCTGTCAGGTCAGGACCTCAGCGCTCCACTAAGCCACAGAAGGTCGACGTGTGGTCCATTCTGAGGGTTATCTGTTGCCGTTTGTCGCACAACAAGGCACGCATCAGTGAGATAATGTAGAGTGGCTTTCTCATAACGCGATGCCAAAGCTTCTACAGTACGACACCAAAGACCTCAGAGCACAAATCAGGTGCATCACAACAACATCCCTCACTCTCTTTGAGCAGCAACATCTCGTCATAGCGCCTTGCCTTAGACATGATGCATAACTCAGAGTGAGACTTAAGATGAGAGGATGAAAACAAGCTGCTACATTCAAAAGAAACGATCCAGTTTCTGCTCTTCTGAGAGAGAGAAGGTAAAATAACTGATACTGGACACTTTGCTACATTGCCTCTAATAGATAGACATATATTGTACTTAAATGGTTTTTAACACAACTTTGGACTGACTTATGTTGTTCTAAACCATTATGCAGCATGTGTGTGTAAAATATGATGTTAAAAGTAATGTATGGGGCTGCAGAAATGCTCCATAGAAAGAGTAAACAAAACCATAACAACAGGTACTCTCCCCTGAGAGTCAAGTCAAGGACATATAATTAACATGTTTTTTTTTCTGTTTAGTTATGACTGTTATTTAATAACCGTGTTCTCAAAAGTACCCTTTGAAGAGTTATTTGAATTAGAAACATGATCTGCCCATTCATTAACAGCCATCTGATATGATGATCAGTGAGATAAAGACAAACTTCCAGGACCAACAGGCTTTTGAACCACATGATTGTGTCCAAGATGAGGATATGACTGACTGAGGGTACATGTTGGCACCGTTCAACACATTCCACAGGCTGTCCCGTCCCACATGCAACAGACGGGTCGCTCAACTGAATTCAAACAACAGTTGGCACATGTCCTCTGATGCACCATTTCAACAACGTGCATGAACAATGCAGATTTTTAAAAAGAGTCTGATTAATTGCATGACCGCGTAGTTAAGTCGTTAGTTGCTCTATTAAAACCACCGGACCGTGACATTCCCAAACACGCCGAGGTGCAGTCGGCGGATCCCTGGGTAACGTTACCAAACGCACCGTGTTAGTCACACCATCCCTTTCTTACCTCTGAACCCGGTGCGTTTGTGATTCACTCGTACGTGGCGGGAATCAATCCATGCCCGTGCGTGGATCCAGATATTCCCGTAAAATCCCACAGTGGCGTAGTATTGGTGGTATTATTTAAGAAGGTATAAGGCTCGCTGAGGACGGAGCCACACGGCAGAGGAGAAGGCGCCACTTGAAACTGACAGAGAGGGATCGGTCGAAACCATAACCACCAAAAGGAGGGGGGAGCGAGCAAGTCCATAAATAACAACACGTTACCGAAGCGTCGCAATCTCATTTATTTCTTTGTAAATCATGCTAAAGCGATAGCAGTAATATACCTTATTATGTTATACTTAGAAGACATTGTGTTATGTAAGGATGCGTCCGGATTTATTTGAAAATGTGAGTTATAAACCCCCCCACTACTCCTTGGATTGAGCCTGCGTGTTTTAACTCAGTTTCATCCGATTGGTCTCTTCCAACGTGACGCAGCAGTACGGCTGCCTTCACGTGGTGTCACAAATATTAAACCTGGTTTACACAACAAGGACGGCATCTTCCATGATAGCCCAATTGCAGAGATTTTATTACAATTCTCGTTTACTCTAAGGTACTCCATGAAACCTCGTGTGTGATTGTGCACCCTAAATAAATACTGACTCGACTTGAGACGACACGTTTAGACAGGTTAGCAGCGGTTCCTGAAGAGAGCTTAATGATGAATTATTAATAATAATTGCGCAGAACATTGAGTGATAACCGTCAATTCGATTTCAATAAGATCAATTGTTGTGACATTTGTGTGACGCATGTCATGTATGTTTAGTCTTGTTGGGATTGAAATGAAATGGCCATCTGTAAAGGCAGCATTGAGGGAAGGGATAAGTCATTTCATCGGTTGCATGAGTCATGAATCTAATTCCTCAGGTTCAATGGGTTTGTTGCGTCTGTCTGCGAGTGTCTTTTCCACTATATTGAATCTTGAAAAATATAATAATTCCCACTGAATTCCAAAGCTCATTTGTTTGTTTTCTAACAAAGCATAGACATGGACTGTGTTGTGGTTTCTGAGCGGCTGAAGTTTGCCTTAGTGGAAAAAAAACACTTGAGAATACAACTTGGGATGATAATAAGTTTCAAAAAATCACTTTCAAATGGCAAGACATCACATGGAAAACAGCATAGTGAGTCTCTGGTTGCTTCCCACAGACAGAAATATGCATCACTGATGCTCTGCTTTGTTCTGTCTCAATCAAGACACAATCCAAGACTTATATTCATATTACAGAAAATATATTGTAGCCTACAAATCAACGACATAGCAATCCGGACAGCAAAGGCAAAGAGCCTATTAAAAGCTGTCATGATTATCCTAAGTGTCTTGGCTGATTCAAAGGGAAAGGCCAATGACATGCGGGCCCTTTGTATAAGCCACTCAACTATCAAAGTCACTGCTGCTTTAAACGTGCCACTGCCAACATCTGGATCCCAGGCAAAAACAGAGGAATCTCAATATATGACTACTTTAGACAAGGTTCATCCACTTTGATCAGAAACAGGCTTTTATCTGTGTTCTGAGTACAAAGCTGGAAGGAGGAACCTTTCTACTATCAGCGCACTGCACATTACAGAGTCGGTCCCTCCCTCTCAAGAGTCCAACGAGACGGACGCCTTCCTGTCGCCTCGTGTCTCTGGACAGATAGGCCCGTGTGGCTGATTATTGAGGGCACACAGTGACGCGTTGCATTTTGTTATCTCTCACAAAGATGTTGTGTAAACTTCAAGTTGAAGTCAGCCACGTGGAAGGATCAGTGCTATATTATTGTTGTTCAGTCAACAGACCGTGTCACGTGGTAAGAGATTCAAAAAGTTCTTCTGTGCATAACATCTGTCCTGCCTTCATATTTGGAGGTTAAGGTACAGGGATATTTAACAGAATTATAGATAAGAGAAGAGATTGGGATATGTATTGAATTAGGCAAAATATAATGATACTAGATTATTATGGTTAGATCATAAAGGATCGGTTGAAAGATGAAGAAAACTAACTGCGGTTAAGGTTATGTGCCTACTAACAATGTAGCTCTATCTCATGTAATTGAACATTAACGTTGCATCACATCTCTCACGCGTTATTGCGATACTAATATGAGGTTCAAACCTATGCTAATTCAAAGCAGCAGCATTTTGACGGTGAGTTGACTTGCAGCCAGGAAAGCCTGCTGTCTCCTCCACTGCAAGGACGTTACATATGAAGTCTCCAATCAGAACAAGATGCCCTAGTTGGATTTGCACGGATTTGCTAATTAAACAAACCTCAGCGGACGCGGGATGTCAACCGGGTCTGCTTGTGTGAAAATGAGAGAAAGAGAGAGAGAGAGAGAGAGAAAGAGGGAGACAGACTTGATAGAGTATAGCGATAAAGAACAAAAACACACTGGGGAAAAAATGTGTGGGATCAGGAGTCAGGAGCAGGATGGCTCTCTGCCGGCGCACAATACATCAGAGGGAGTTTCGCCATATTATGAAACCGCTTCCAATTGCGCTGAGCACCGGTCCCCACCACGCCTCTGTCCTTAACAGAGGGTAGTCATCAGCCTTTCACTGAGGACGCTGACTGACGCATGCAGACAAAGGGTTGTCTTTCCTAAGGTGAGGCAGGCTGCACACATTCCACAAATCAACATAACAAAGGAATTACACATGATGTCATACCCGAAAAACTTCAAAGGCACCTGCCATATCACATTATCAAATACAGCTGACGATGGGCTGCATCAAGTCTCCACTCGTTCACCTACGATGAAGCGGATGAAAGCGGACAATGGAGGCGAAGTACTCACTGTACAGAGGGAAGACAGACACAAGGTGATCCTCCGGCCGAGGTTTGCTTTCTTTCTATCTTCCTCCCTCCCTGTCCTTGTCTGTTTCTGCCTCTCCTCCCACCTTCTCCCCCCTTTCTTCTCACCACAGCAAGATGCTGCCTGGACCAGTGCTCGTTGTCATGGTAACATAGACTAAGGGGGGGGG